ATGAAGCTGTTGTGGATGTCAGATTGGTGGATGAAGCTGTTGTGGATGTCAGATTGGTGGATGAAGCTGTTGTGGATGTCAGATTGGTGGATGAAGCTGTTGTGGATGTCAGATTGGTGGATGAAGCTGTTGTGGATGTCAGATTGGTGGATGAAGCTGTTGTGGATGTCAGATTGGTGGATGAAGCTGTTGTGGATGTCAGATTGGTGGATGAAGCTGTTGTGGATGTCAGATTGGTGGATGAAGCTGTTGTGGATGTCAGATTGGTGGATGAAGCTGTTGTGGATGTCAGATTGGTGGATGAAGCTGTTGTGGATGTCAGATTGGTGGATGAAGCTGTTGTGGATGTCAGATTGGTGGATGAAGCTGTTGTGGATGTCAGATTGGGAGGATGAAGCTGTGGATGTCAGATTGGTGGATGAAGCTGTTGTGGATGACAGATTGGTGGATGAAGCTGTTGTGGATGACAGATTGGAGGATGAAGCTGTTGTGGATGTCAGATTGGTGGATGAAGCTGTTGTGGATGTCAGATTGGTGGATGAAGCTGTTGTGGATGACAGATTGGAGGATGAAGCTGTTGTGGATGTCAGATTGGTGGATGAAGCTGTTGTGGATGTCAGATTGGAGGATGAAGCTGTTGTGGATGACAGATTGGAGGATGAAGCTGTTGTGGATGTCAGATTGGTGGATGAAGCTGTTGTGGATGACAGATTGGTGGATGAAGCTGTTGTGGATGACAGATTGGGATGGATGAAGAAGCTGTTGTGGATGTCAGATTGGTGGATGAAGCTGTTGTGGATGTCAGATTGGAGGATGAAGCTGTTGTGGATGTCAGATTGGTGGATGAAGCTGTTGTGGATGTCAGATTGGTGGATGAAGCTGTTGTGGATGACAGATTGGTGGATGAAGCTGTTGTGGATGACAGATTGGTGGATGAAGCTGTTGTGGATGTCAGATTGGTGGATGAAGCTGTTGTGGATGTCAGATTGGTGGATGAAGCTGTTGTGGATGTCAGATTGGTGGATGAAGCTGTTTGTGGATGTCAGATTGGTGGATGAAGCTGTTGTGGATGAAGATTGGTGGATGAAGCTGTTGTGGATGTCAGATTGGTGGATGAAGCTGTTGTGGATGACAGATTGGTGGATGAAGCTGTTGTGGATGTCAGATTGGTGGATGAAGCTGTTGTGGATGACAGATTGGTGGATGAAGCTGTTGTGGATGACAGATTGGTGGATGAAGCTGTTGTGGATGTCAGATTGGTGGATGAAGCTGTTGTGGATGTCAGATTGGTGGATGAAGCTGTTGTGGATGTCAGATTGGTGGATGAAGCTGTTGTGGATGTCAGATTGGTGGATGAAGCTGTTGTGGATGTCAGATTGGTGGATGAAGCTGTTGTGGATGTCAGATTGGTGGATGAAGCTGTTGTGGATGTCAGATTGGTGGATGAAGCTGTTGTGGATGTCAGATTGGTGGATGAAGCTGTTGTGGATGTCAGATTGGTGGATGAAGCTATTGTGGATGCTTGGTTGTTGTGGATGTCAGATTGGAGGATGAAGCTGTTGTGGATGTCAGATTGGTGGATGAAGCTGTTGTGGATGACAGATTGGAGGATGAAGCTGTTGTGGATGTCAGATTGGAGGATGAAGCTGTTGTGGATGTCAGATTGGAGGATGAAGCTGTTGTGGATGTCAGATTGGTGGATGAAGCTGTTGTGGATGACAGATTGGAGGATGAAGCTGTTGTGGATGTCAGATTGGTGGATGAAGCTGTTGTGGATGACAGATTGGAGGATGAAGCTGTTGTGGATGTCAGATTGGTGGATGAAGCTATTGTGGATGTCAGATTGGTGGATGAAGCTGTTGTGGATGACAGATTGTGGATGGATGATTGAGCTGTTGTGGATGTCAGATTGGTGGATGAAGCTGTTGTGGATGTCAGATTGGAGGATGAAGCTGTTGTGGATGTCAGATTGGTGGATGAAGCTGTTGTGGATGTCAGATTGGTGGATGAAGCTGTTGTGGATGTCAGATTGGTGGATGAAGCTGAAGGATGTGATTGTGGATGAAGCCATTCAGTGATGATTGAGGATGAAGCTGTTGTGGATGACAGATTGGTGGATGAAGCTGGTTTGGATGTCAGATTGGAGGATGAAGCTGTTGTGGATGTCAGATTGGAGGATGAAGCTGTTGTGGATGTCAGATTGGAGGATGAAGCTGTTGTGGATGTCAGATTGGTGGATGAAGCTGTTGTGGATGTCAGATTGGTGGATGAAGCTGTTGTGGATGACAGATTGGTGGATGAAGCTGTTGTGGATGACAGATTGGAGGATGAAGCTGTTGTGGATGTCAGATTGGTGGATGAAGCTGTTGTGGATGTCAGATTGGTGGATGAAGCTGTTGTGGATGTCAGATTGGTGGATGAAGCTGTTGTGGATGACAGATTGGAGGATGAAGCTGTTGTGGATGTCAGATTGGTGGATGAAGCTGTTGTGGATGACAGATTGGTGGATGAAGCTGTTGTGGATGTCAGATTGGTGGATGAAGCTGTTGTGGATGACAGATTGGTGGATGAAGCTGTTGTGGATGACAGATTGAGGGATGAAGCTGTTGTGGATGACAGATTGAGGATGAAGCTGTTGTGGATGTCAGATTGGAGGATGAAGCTGTTGTGGATGTCAGATTGGTGGATGAAGCTGTTGTGGATGACAGATTGGAGGATGAAGCTGTTGTGGATGATGTCAGATTGGTGGATGAAGCTGTTGTGGATGACAGATTGGTGGATGAAGCTGTTGTGGATGACAGATTGGTGGATGAAGCTGTTGTGGATGTCAGATTGGTGGATGAAGCTGTTGTGGATGTCAGATTGGAGGATGAAGCTGTTGTGGGATGTCAGATTGGTGGATGAAGCTGTTGTGGATGTCAGATTGGTGGATGAAAGCTGTTGTGGATGTCAGATTGGTGGATGAAGCTGTTGTGGATGATCCATTGGTGGATGAAGCTGTTGTGGATGTCAGATTGGAGGATGAAGCTGTTGTGGATGTCAGATTGGTGGATGAAGCTGTTGTGGATGACAGATTGGAGGATGAAGCTGTTGTGGATGACAGATTGGTGGATGAAGCTGTTTTGGATGTCAGATTGGAGGATGAAGCTGTTGTGGATGTCAGATTGGTGGATGAAGCTGTTGTGGATGACAGATTGGTGGATGAAGCTGTTGTGGATGTCAGATTGGTGGATGAAGCTGTTGTGGATGACAGATTGGAGGATGAAGCTGTTGTGGATGACAGATTGGTGGATGAAGCTGTTGTGGATGTCAGATTGGAGGATGAAGCTGTTGTGGATGTCAGATTGGTGGATGAAGCTGTTGTGGATGACAGATTGGTGGATGAAGCTGTTGTGGATGACAGATTGGAGGATGAAGCTGTTGTGGATGTCAGATTGGTGGATGAAGCTGTTGTGGATGACAGTTGGTGGATGAAGCTGTTGATGTGATTGGTGGATGAAGCTGTTGTGGATGACAGATTGGTGGATGAAGCTGTTGTGGATGTCAGATTGGTGGATGAAGCTGTTGTGGATGACAGATTGGTGGATGAAGCTGTTGTGGATGACAGATTGGAGGATGAAGCTGTTGTGGATGTCAGATTGGTGGATGAAGCTGTTGTGGATGATGACAGATTGGAGGATGAAGCTGTTGTGGATGACAGATTGGTGGATGAAGCTGTTGTGGATGACAGATTGGTGGATGAAGCTGTTGTGGGATGACAGATTGGTGGATGAAGCTGTTGTGGATGTCAGATTGGTGGATGAAGCTGTTGTGGATGTCAGATTGGTGGATGAAGCTGTTGTGGATGACAGATTGGAGGATGAAGCTGTTGTGGATGTCAGATTGGTGGATGAAGCTGTTGTGGATGACAGATTGGTGGATGAAGCTGTTGTGGATGACAGATTGGTGGATGAAGCTGTTGTGGATGTCAGATTGGTGGATGAAGCTGTTGTGGATGTCAGATTGGTGGATGAAGCTGTTGTGGATGACAGATTGGAGGATGAAGCTGTTGTGGATGACAGATTGGAGGATGAAGCTGTTTTGGATGTCAGATTGGAGGATGAAGCTGTTGTGGATGTCAGATTGGTGGATGAAGCTGTTGTGGATGACAGATTGGAGGATGAAGCTGTTGTGGATGTCAAATTGGTGGATGAAGCTGTTGTGGATGACAGATTGGTGGATGAAGCTGTTGTGGATGACAGATTGGAGGATGAAGCTGTTGTGGATGTCAGATTGGTGGATGAAGCTGTTGTGGATGACAGATTGGTGGATGAAGCTGTTGTGGATGACAGATTGGTGGATGAAGCTGTTGTGGATGACAGATTGGTGGATGAAGCTGTTGTGGATGACAGATTGGAGGATGAAGCTGGTTTGGATGTCAGATTGGAGGATGAAGCTGTTGTGGATGTCAGATTGGTGGATGAAGCTGTTGTGGATGTCAGATTGGTGGATGAAGCTGTTGTGGATGACAGATTGGTGGATGAAGCTGTTGTGGATGACAGATTGGTGGATGAAGCTGTTGTGGATGTCAGATTGGTGGATGAAGCTGTTGTGGATGACAGATTGGTGGATGAAGCTGTTGTGGATGACAGATTGGTGGATGAAGCTGGTTTGGATGTCATTTTGGTGGATGATGCTGGTTTGGATGCCAGAATGATGGATGAAGCTGGTGTCGAGTTCATGGTCAGGATGACATTTTGGTGGTGGTATTCTTCATGGTGTTGTTACTTGTGTTGATGGCGTATTCTGTCTATTATCTTATTGTATATTTTGGGTGGTAATCTTGAAGAACACCTTTTCACATAAATTGTCCGAACTATTCTCTTTGGGTTGTCGGTTCTATTAGTGTGTTGTTTTGACATATTTCTTACATTCACTAGGAAATCAAATAAGGCATATTTGATCATGAAAGAGCATTCAATTTCTTATTCACTTCCACAATCTGTCATTTACTTATCTAGAAGGACTTGAAACAGCCGTTGCATTCCAAACTAGTCCCAGTGCCTACTACTTTGACGTGAAAGACACTGAGAAACTGATATTCGACTCGGCCCTCTACAACATCGGAAATAGTTACGATGGCAAGACGGGGATGTTCACAGCACCGGTATCTGGGACGTTCATATTTTGGGCGGGTGTCAGCTCCTTTGGGAGAAACTCCCGTGTCACAATCAGACTAATCCTGAATCAAGACCGCCATGGTTGTTTGGCACAGGGAACGGGCATCGCCAATAACAATTCCACGGAAAGTACCGCTTCTGTCATGACAGCCGCCGAGCTAAGGAGAGGTGATGTCGTTTGGCTGGAGAAGTACAGTGGCACTGACCGACTCTTCGGCACCCAAGAATCATACTTTGGTGGGGTACTCTTGCACCAACATTAATGAAATGCTGAAGGTCATTTATCATAATAAAGATGCCGGTATTACCTTTAAGAAATCATGATATTTTGTGGCACACTCATATTTGTACATGTCACCAATACTTCATGAAGAATTCTAGCGACCGCCGTGATATGGATGACAAATTGCTTAAACAACTCTTATATTGCGTCGTTTCCATACCCCAACACATGGTCATACCAATATTACAATTACTGAGTATTGTTAAACAAGATGTGATTGGTTTGTTATATTTTGCAAGATAGTTGACGTTAGTCTGCTTGTGTTTGTTCAGCGCACGCAATACGGTCCTTATAGTCATAGAATCTACACAGACGGAAATGGACAAATCACGGATAAAAAATTTCCATAACATACTTTATTTAGCACGATAAAAAAGAAGATAAGTGTTAGAGTCATATATGCTATAATTAAAACAACTACAATATACCCTGATCGAATCATCTTCAACAAATCTGCAATTGCCGTTACTTTACATTAATCACTTGTACTATCTGATCTGAAAACACAATATTAGTCTGAGCATATTGACACTTGGCAAGATTTACAATCAGTTTCAACCATGATAGTTTCTCAAAGACAGGATGGATCCTTTGCAATGGTCGTTCCACTCAGTCCCATTCGCGATAATGTCGTCGATGTAATCTACTGTACCTTGGAGGACTGTACTGATGTTATTGATGGGACGTTGAAAGGTAGCCGGTGCAGAAACCAAAGCTTAACTTTGTAGTTCATCTATTATAGCTCCAACTTCAGTGGGTCCATACGATAAGATTTCTGTCTTTCAGGTAGTGTATCTGAATCTGTGTCATGACGAATTAACTGATCAATTAAATCTGAAAGGTGTCTCTTTTCTGGGGTAGGGTGGGCATTTGAGTAGGGCGTTTTAATTCTTGAGAGATTTTATGCCTGGGGCTACCCTTTTTACCTAAATCATCAAATTTCATATGATCACTTGTAAACTCAGAACTGCAGTCATCTGAGGCAGATTAAGCTAGCACAATAACGTTTGATGGAACAACATCAGACATATCGCTTGGATTATATTCAGGTATCGCAACAGTGCTTGTTTTCGAGGGCCTTTAGTTTGAACAATGTAATCGGATCCAGTCGGATCTGCCTTGCTTGTCAGTCACAGGAGAACCTTTGGTTGACCAGGGATGGCCACCTACACCAAATGCCTTTTACCAGGATTTTACCATATCAGAATAGCGATTACTTTCACTGGTAACTTCTAACTGAAATGTCTTGCAAAACTGCGAGCCATCCGGACGCAAACTGGGCAAGGGGATTTCAGCTGAAATCTTGTCAGAAGTTCCCCCAAAAGACCAAAAGGACCAGGCATATGACTTATTATGTGTGCTAAACTCACCAATTGAAATGATAAATCCATGGAACCACATTTTTTCAGAAAATGTTCTTGCACAAGGAGGGAAATATGTCTTCCTGATTAGATTCAGTAAAGTTTCTGGTTCAATATCATCACACTGATCAGACAAACTATTGGGCCCAGCAAAGTCATTACCAACAACCAAGTCAGCGCTTTAAAATGTCCCCTTGACATCAACTGTCGCAAATACCGAGACGCCAAAATGGGGGGCGAACACGTAACTCCACCGGTGTCCTTTAATTTAACAAACATCGGAATTAGCAGATGCCACATCCACAGATGTCAAAACATCGCATTCCCCAATTTCTTACAATTCTACCAGAGATCCTTCGACAAAGACCACCTAGTACACAAAGTCTCCCCAGGTAAAAAATGGAAATTGTTCTTTTAACATTTTCCCCTATATGTCTCCGGGACCAACTCCAAAACTCAAATGCTGCTTTTATCTTCATCATAGTTGCCAAGAGCTTTACATAATTCCACCATCGAACACACGTGACAATGTCCAAATACGCCAAGACAGAGATCAGAGCGCTCTGTCAAAGGTATCAACCGTAATACATAAACTGATCTACATGCCCGGCATATTACCTGACCTAATGTACACACATTTCCCTTGCACTATATGCCCCATATGCCCCTGGCTTGTCTGTCATTGCTATGTCAAAAACACGTGTCAGATCTCATGTGTGGAGCATACGAAAGCTCAACGCTCAAAACATATATATGACGGCGCTTCGGTGTTTGTCTCACTGACATCCGCTAACAGCGCCGACTAGCAGTCAACTACTTCTCTTGACCTTGAGACGCATGGTTTTGTAAGTCACTCATGTAATTAATCTGAAAGATTTTGCGGAATAGGCAACTGCTGACATTGACTATATTTCCGTTTAAACTTTGACCGCTATGCCTCTAAGTTGTGATTTTGAAACTAAAACAAACATAAAAGAATCGGTAACAAAATCAAGAATATCTTACAGAGAAAGCATCAACAGCCACTAGATTGTTCTTTATATAATAATTGTGCTATTTCGATTGGCAATAATCGAAATCAAAGCGCTGTGAGATTTGTTTGCATTATCTGACGTCTCTCTCGCCTGTCTCATTTCAGCATTACGTGACGTCTCTCTCGCCTGTCTCATTTCAGCATTACGTGACGTCTCTCTCGCCTGTCTCATTTCAGCATTATCTGACGTCTCTCTCGCCTGTCTCATTTCAGCATTATCTGACGTCTCTCTCGCCTGTCTCATTTCAGCATTATGACCTATTCAATACATCCTATTGACAAAAAACGTTAATCAAAAGCATTGTCCGTGTTCATAACACAAACTCTCAACTTGCTAGTTGTTGCCATCTGCTCGTATTGAATATGTATATTGCTGAAGTGCGGAAATTCGTGCAAATTCTCAAACATATTCGTACTAAAGTACGCAAGATAGTCAACATATTGCATTATCTGGTTATAAACGTGTTCATTGGGTATCTGGACGTATCGTTATTCCCTAACATATAATATTTACAGGATTTTCAACTTAATCGACACAATGATCTGTGAACTGTCCATGGCGGAAATGTCTGCAACCATTGTCTACATAGCACTGTGGCTAAATCAGCCTTTAGCATAAAAAAATAATCATTTAAAAATATTGTTTATAATGATATCAATCTAGTTTAGAAGATGGTAACAGAATCAGACGAGATATCATAACCTGGATGTAAACAGCGACAAAGTGAAGTGAAGTAAAGTATCGGATTAAATTGTGCAGTATATGAAATATGTCTCACAGTCCCTCACTATGTCAACTGAAAGTAAGATAAGTTTGATTGTCCTCTTCCTGTTTGTATAGTCTCCCTGGTACAGCATATCCCGTTTATGTCATTATATCAATCATTATAATTATAAAGTGTCGTTTTACGGCACAATTTTCACAGTTTCATTGACTTATTTTGTCAAACGGTAACACGACACGGCAAACAGATGCGCAGTAATCCCAAAGATCACAGATAAGACAAAAATCAAAATATATCGAAGCACCATAGTATTCCACATTCTTACAACACATCAAATGGTTTAAGTATATATGGACTGATGCTGAGAAAATGCATATTCAATGATAACTGCTGCAAACAGACATCAGTACTGCTAAGTGTTAGCATTACAGGACTCGTAGTTTGTAAGATGTTTCATAAGTAGGGTCCTCCACAACGTCCACACACACATTCAGTGGGTACAGCCACTGATTTCTTTTCCAGTTGTTAAACAAAAGAATTTAATCTTAATCACCTTCACAAAAATAAACTTCAAATTGACGATAAGCAATAAGAACATTTCCGTCATTCAAATCTGACCAAAACATCCGGAAACAACTATTACATGTACAATTATGTACGTTGAAATCTTCAATATGTGTTTAACCTTATTATATCGTCAGGTCCAGTCAAGGTCGGAATACAGCATAGAAGCAAGCGATACTGAAACCAACTTAATGTTGTATCCCCGGTTGTTTAAAAAGGTTTCGGATAAACTGAATCCCAAGAAAGATCAGTTGTAAATGATCAGTTGATTTGCGACTTTGGAGTATGACTAGATGAAATGAGTGCACAGTAATACTATTTTGAAACTTTCGAAACTGACATGATTTCTTACAAACAGACTTTCTCCTGGAAATGGCATATGTAACCGGTCTGCAGACAATGTCATGGGTGTAACAATGGTGGACATTCAGCAGTACACACTTAGTCAATATTGCACACACAGCTATATCACGACGATAACCAACAGAAGTCTATGACAAGACATGATTGAAGCACAGGGAGTACAGGGATCAACATGTAACACGTGGTGTACAAGATGGTGACAGTTTCAGACATTTGGCACCATACATACATGACCTTTAATACTTAAAGCTACTGAAATGTTTTATATAAAAAAAGATCATCGCACTGATGACGTGAGCCAGTAACTTAATTGCTGACAAGTAAACGTCTGAGACTTTTCTCCCTCCTTAATCTGACACCTTTGATACAACTGGAATATGGTCAAGTTAAACCCAACTTTTCTCAGGGGCAAAACAACAAACAGAATCAGTGTTAAACTTACTGTTTATGTTGTTGATGAAGTGTTCTTACATGGAAACACAAAAATCTGAAGGTATGATAACAATGCACAATCCATAAGAACAACGCACCTTGCACATGGTTTACTTTGGTTTGCTGTTTTACGCAATATTCCAGCTATATGGTGGTGGTATGTAAATAATCGAGTCTGGACCAGACAAACCATTGACACCATGAACATCAATGTACGCAATTGGGATACGATGACATGTGTCTATATCATCGTATCCCAACTGTGAATATCCATGCCCATGACGTCAATCACTGGATTGTCTGGTCCAAACTCAATTATTTACAGACCGCGTGCATACTGCTGAGCGCGGCGTTAACAACAAACCAACCATATCTCCATTGTCCAGCATGATGACACAGGCATTAGTCTGGGCACGTACAGGTAGGTACGCACGCAACCCACATTAGGCACCTTATTCAGTTAGGCTAGGAGGTAATCTGCCCAAGAGAGGTATAGTGGGTCACTGCTGTCTGGAATATAAAATTACCTATTATTACGGTGTTTTTATTAATCGACTTTCCTGTATTACAGATATAAAAATGTAATGGTAAAATACTAAAAGTCATAGAAGATAAATCTTGTTTATGTATTTACTTAATGCCGTGCACCGTGGGATAAAGCCAAAGCCCTTGTTTGTTTTCAGCGATTGTCCCGGTGTGTTATACAGTTGTAGGTGTCGGTGCGGAATCCCTCCCAGCTGCTACAGGCAGATGTTCATCAGTAACGACAAGTGACGTTGTCAAAACAGCGTCCTCTGCAACGGGGGCATTCTGTGTCCTGTCTTCGTGCGTATATACTCCCGAGAGAAGCGCACAAGCACTCGTCACAAAAAGAAGACAAGCTGAAACATAGTTAAACATAACATTACGACTTGCACCATTCCAACACGAACAAGTAAACATTTATCTAGTGCGTCAAACGTTTCCAGGTGAATAATCTAAACTGAGGGGCAAAAGAAACGTCCCCAAAGTAAAATTTGAAAAAACAGTTCTTCTGTTGTCGTTATGACGGAAATTTATTTAGGAACACATCTCCCGAACGCATCCCCACGTCTCACAGAAAGGAAATCCACGTGGAGTTTTTTTGTAAGCATGAAAATTGCTTTTATTCACGTTTTTTGCATGCTTCGGTGGAAACATACCCGTATGAAAGTACAGTATAAAAATTATGCTCGACTGTTCGAATTCATCACTTCAATACGTTGGACACAAAGAACATGCCTCGACTCACGGCAGAACAGAGAGAACGAGCTATTGGGATGTTGCAGCTGGGTGCTTCTCACAGTCACGTTGCAAGAATCATGGGTTGCAGCAAGAAAACCATCACCAGACTGATGACACGCTTCAGAACAACAGGTCGGACTGCAGACAGGCCTAGGACAGGGAGACCACCCGTAACCACCCCTCAGGAAGACCGCCATTTACGGGTGCTTCACTTGCGCAACAGATTCCTGACTGTGACGTCATCAGCAACAACCAGCCTTACCCATCCAGTCAGTAGAAGGACCATATCCAGACGACTCCGCCGATTCGGTATCAGAGCCTACAGACCATTCCGGGGCGTGACGTTAACGCGTGAACATCGACGTCGTCGCTTGGCTTGGGCACGTAGAGTTCGGCAGTGGCAGCCGCGGAACTGGCGCCGGGTACTCTTCAGTGACGAGAGCCGCTTCCAGTTGAACAAAGCTGATGGTCGGGTACGAGTCTACAGACGTCGGAACGAACGCACAGCACGTTGTTGCTTTGGCTCAAGCTCTACAGGAAGAATGGCGTCGCATCCCAGATCACGTGATCAGACGTCTTGTGCACTCTGCACGACGTCGTGTGGCAGCATGTATCGCTGCAAGAGGTGGACACACTCGCTACTGAGGAGTTGGACACTCAAAGACACTCTGTCAGTACTGATGTGCATGTGTTGTCATGATCGAAACCCGGACATTTGAACCTCCTGTGAAAAACGTCACAAAAACTCTACTTACAGCAAATTGTTTCAATTGTTCTGTAATGACAGTCTGCATAATATGTTCAACAATTATATAAAACATTTCAACATTGAATTGCACGTGTTTGTATCATTTTATGATAAAAAAATGATCGGGGACGTTTCTTTTGCCCCTCAGTTTATATACAAAATAATGCTAAGCAAGGCAACATAACGGTGAGTTGTTTCAAGCTATATGAAAGATACATGACATGCAGTGAACTGCTGTAAAAGAAGACACAATTATTTAACAAGAAAATGTATGTTGATAATAATAGTAAGTTACAGAGATATGTCAAAGGTAATATGAAAATAATACACTAAATTCTGGCATCAGTTGGTTAAAATTGTAACAGCGTGATCGGAATGTTTGCAATTAGTGAGTCGACAATAGTGATCGAAATGACATTTTATGACGTCAAAATAACAGTTGTACAATGAAAAACACTACCCCCATTGCACTCTCTCCCCTCGTTATGAGAAAGTTTTGAATGTTAGAGTTCTCCTTGCTAATTAGAGTATCAAACCTGTTAATCACATCAAACATTGTGCGTTTTAAGTATATCACCATATGACATTTTTACACGGAAGTCAAATCATGTCTGCAATTGGAACTGGTCACCCTTAACCAACTAGTGATAATGCAATTGCGATAGAGTTGTCGTCTAAATCAAATTCCTGCAAAGACAAGTTCCAGGGCGAGAGGCGTTGCTGTTTGTTGTTCATTTTATAAAGAAAGGTCGGCGAATTTGATCAGTACACACTTAAGAACACATTGAATAGGACTTAAAATTGCTGCAAAAACATAATAAACAAGATGATCTAAGAATGATGCATCTTCCTGCAACACGACAACTCCAGCACCACTGTCACAAATCTGCTGCCCGGAGAACATGAGAATTCCCGAGATTGCAAAAGCAGCCTGACAAATGCTGTCATTATCACTCCTTTGCCAAGCAAATTATTAGGAGGGACTGCTAGAAAAGGAAGAATTGTGACAAAATTTATAGCAGTAACCAGCCATTCCCAGAATTTCCCTTTTGGGACTGGGATTTCAAAACTGAATTAACCTTCACTTGAACCGGCTGTACCTTTCTTTGGCCGATAACATGACCTAAAACTTGTACATGTGCCTGTGCAAATTCACATTAAGCTAAATTCAGTCAGCTTGGCTTAAATGAGGTTTACGATAGACTCAGGATCCTCTTTAGGTGTTCCTCTCATCCCATGGAATACGTGATGGTATCATCGATACAGGTGCCAACACCCACTAATGTTGTTGATAAGAAGCTGGAAGGTGACTGGAGGATTCTTGAGCCCAAATGGTATAACTCTGTATTGATAAAATTCCCTCTGGTGTCACAAAAGTTGTAACCTGCTTGACAGGCTCTGTCTGTCAGTGGAATCTGCCAGTACCCTTAATCTTCATTGAGTCAAACTGGCTGATTATTTGACATAGTCCCTTTTAGAAACAGCAGCCCGAACTTCCATTTGCTCAGGTGTCAAATCACCGGGCTTACCATGTATTTTAACTAAAATATCAGAATTGCGTAGCTTATGGCTAGCATAGTCAGTACTTTACAGTTCTCTCATCACTATCACAATCTGATACAGTAACTAGCAGCAGTGGCTACACACTGGGTAGGTAGAATTGCAATTTCTTTCATGACACTTTCCAATCTTATTGACATGACTAAGTTGTCTGTCCAGGATGGTTTGGTGTTGGCACAACATAGTCATTGTCACTGACTTTCATTTAGATAACATGAGACCCATGGTACCTAGCACGCAATGGTTGACCAGGGATTGGCAAAAACACTAACCTTTTATTGTCAGGTCTGAAATATCTCTTGAGACTTCTTGAGACGTAATTTCCTATCGTCTTGTCCTGTTTGTTTGGGTTTTAAAATTGTCCCTACACGTCCCTATATGCTTGAAAAAAATGCTGATGCAACGATAATCTTAAACTCACTGTTGGATTTGGTTTAAAACGCAAACTGTAAAAATAGGTGAGGTGAAATGGGGTTTAACGTCGTACTTATGAATATTTCGCTCATATGACGACGTGCATCCGTGTGTATGTGTGGCTGCTTGTACTAGCCAAGTCTTAAGCTGGTTTCATAGTGCAAGCTCACTCACTCACTGAGATATCATGCCACAGTTAAGCATGAATACCCCACTCAGACACATTATACTGACTCCGAGCCGCTGATCAGTCCTTGTTGTACCCATTAATGCCGAGCGCCGGGCAGGGAACAACAAGTACCACATCTTACGTGTTTTGGTATGACGCGGCCGGTGATCGAACCCGCGACCTTCAGCTCTCCAGGCGGACACTTTAACCACTACACCACGGATGCGGTTGTGAAAATAGGAAGATAATGATAATGTTTTAAACAAATGACAGTAATATCAGTTTTATCACGTATGTAGTTATGTGTCTCTTGGATGGTGTATTTCTCCTACTTTGTTTCGTGTAAGTACATTCAGGTTTCACAACTCACCACAGAAGACGAACACCGAATAATAAGATCCAGTCAGCTTCATTACTTGAACTGAAGCAAAGAAGAACTCATATCAAGACGATTACACGTGCAAACATACTAACATCATAGGGCATAGGTCTCACTGATTTATAGAGTATCTTACCAGCTAATGGTGGGCCAATGAGGTTAATCACTCCTGTACCAAACTGAATGCATCCAAATCCATATGCTAGGTTCTCCAGTCCAACTTTCTCCAACGTAACAGGTCCAAGGATAACAAATATCGACGTTAAGTAAGCACCAATGCAGATGGAGTAGAGGTATCTCCCTTCAGTCGAATGGACCATGAATGGAAGAAGTAGAGTTACGACAGCTGATAACCCGCAGTTACCTGCCAGCACAAGCACTGATCCGATACCAGGGTCGTTTGTCATAACACCAACAAGAACCCGTCCTACCAGACTTCCTGTTCCTATAAGCGACATGGACATGGCAGATTCTTGGTGTGTTGCACCGCTGAAGTTGAAGAAGTCAGCCATGAAGGTCATAATAATGCACAGAGACATACTAAAACAACACACACCTAATCCAAAGTAAAGAAAGTGATTGTTTGTCAAAATTGTACTTTTAAAGTGCGCGAGAGACTTCACACATGAGGACATAAAGCTTTCTCGTTTTGGGACAAGTTTTTCCTCCACTCGAGTTGCATGTCTCTCCACCTCATAGGCAGAAGGTCGGAGAAGCAGCCCACATATACATGTGTGAAATGAGATGGCTCCCATCATCATCTGTGCTCCGTTCACACCATACCAGTCGACAAAAGACTGGACAAGGCGAGGATGTACAAGCATTCCTATGCCAACTGCGGCAAACGTTATTCCAGAAGCTATGCTGGTGTTCTCTCGGAACCAGTAACCAATGTTGATGGTGGTGGTGGTAAAGGCCATACCACGACCAATACCTGCAACAGATGAACATCACTGTAAAACCTGAATATGTCCAACTCTTTTACAAGGTAAAGGGTCAGACCAAATATTGGAACATAGACATACATCCTGTGCAAGAACGTTTGTCGGTAAATGTTAATACCACACCACAAGCGACAACTTGCACGAGCCACACATTAACGTCGGGTAGCATTCTTGATTTATACACTTTCAAGCAGGGTGGACCATGATTCCTTTCGGTCTTATCAAATCGCTTTGTCAGTTGTGATATTTTATGTGTGAAGCACCAATGCTGCGGAGCGTCTATGGGCTACTGACAGCAGAGGTAATTGTGCAATGACAATACGTTTCATGATTCTCAGTTTGTTGACTCTTTTCCCCGTTCAGTTTTACGATGACAACACTAGATGATCGGGTTAACCAGACACCAGGCCCTTCAGAACGGAGATCAAATTGCTTCAGGCCACTTGCAAATAGTACTTTTGCCAACAGATAATGAGTTTTTCAATGGCGTAAACAACGAGGAATCTGGGGTAATCGTTGCTTGTTGCTTGTTCAAATTCGTCATCGACCACTTGGCTACACCTGGCCAGGCACTACAAGAAGAGGGGTACGGACTCTCTCAGATCGTCACTGGGAACTGCTCGTGACGTGAATAAACGTTCGACAAATCGGGGCAGTACTGTGCAAAACGAACGGTCATTCAAGATCGTTGGAGACGTTAAAATATGGTACTTGTTGGTTCTGTCTGGCGATCGGCATTAATGGGTACAACAAGGATTGGTCGGCTCGGAGTCTGCGGGTATGGTATCTCAGTGAGTTAGCACTATAAAACCAGCTTAAGTCCGGGCTCGTACAAGCAGACACACATATGAGCGAAATATTCTTAAGTACGACGTTAAAACGCATTTCACCTCATCTCAAGATCGTTGGCGGTTATAACATCTACTCTCAATCTTCTATTCCTTATCAGCATGCAAATATTATTCCAAACAAATATATGTTACAATTTTGGAAGTTGTTACATTACGTCCGGGAACCCATTTTGCTTGAGGAAAAGCGCCAAAACGCTTCGTGAAAGCTTCCAAACAATGTCATTTGCCAGGTTACCACAATTCAATTGAAATAACTGTTCACATTAAAGATGCGTATTTTTTCGCTGAAAGCCCGAAATGTTTGCCATACAATCTGATCAGTTGAACCAGACAGTAACCTTCCTGTTCGGGTTTAGGAAGATAAATACCAAATATTCTAATGGAAAAGCAAGGGTTGACGTCAAAGCCATGGAAGATAGAGAGAGAGCTGATTGTCACGATACGCCACGGAGAAAGAGCTAGTGAGCTGTCGGTCAAAGGAAGCCATGAAATGAAGAGCTTGAGATGGCAGTCAGATAAACCATGAAAGGATGAGTGGGAGGTGACAGTCAAGTTATTATTTGATGTTGTTAGATGAAATATGACTTACCCAGTATGCAGCCGTATGTGATGAAAAGAAAAGTGCTGTCAGACGTTAAGCCACCCAATAAGAAGCCACCTAATGCAGAAAGTCCGGCGATGACGGTAGTTATTCGACAACTGGTCATACTAACCAGACAACTGCCAACAGGCCCTGAAAATATATTGCTAGATACAGAATTCTGAGGTTTGTTAAACTATGTGCATTCATATATACAATAGTATACATCTCATTGTGTGAAGATGCATAAATGATCTATCGAAATTTGGAAGTACGATACGCATTAATAAGGATGTGTTGATGTAACTATTATAAAACTAAACTTTAGCCGCCGATTTCGAAAGTACAGAGTTGTTTTTTTATGCAAGTCAATATCCGATGATTGATTCGTCTTCACAATAATTACCTACTGTAAATCATGGCTGAGATTAGCTGATAACCTTAAGCAGGAATGGCATATGCAAGTTGATAATTTGTCAGATTCCTTTTTATACAAACAGTTTAAATCTCTTTTACAAGTTGAAACATATCTTATGTCATTCTTACCATTACAGTTTCAGGTTGTTTTAGCCAGATTTAGATGTAACTTTAGAATTGCTGTTAATAAGGTAAGATACTCCTCTACATTGTATGGCGATAGGTTGTGCCAGTATTGTTTAAGACAAGGGAAGTATTACATTGAGAATGAAGAACATATATTATTAATCTGTGAACAATATCATCAGTTGCGGCATAATATACTGGGCATATGTACATGTAATTCTGATATTAAATTTGTTAACTTAATATCAGCTCACTTCAGTCAGTTGAGAAAGATTTCCTTATATTTATTTAAGGTCCAGCAAATTATTTACAGGAGTAATATATAATTTATATAAATTTTCCATGGTTTTAAAATGTATTTTGTACAATGCGCAGAATTTATATGTCAATATGATTGTATTTTGGGCCAGTGGCCTTTATACTGACTAAATATCTGTCTGTAAATCATGGCTTTCACAAAAGTGCCACAATTGTCACAAAGGTTACACTATGTGCATCCAAATTGTTGACCGTAACTACACCCAACCCACTCACCAACACACATAAACAGTTACTAGAAGTGCCTCGTGTTTACAAGAGATCCATCTAATGTAGAACCATCAACGACGTACCTCCAGCAGCGTGCATCATATTATTGACAGCCATCAACCAGGACAGCGTGCCGACTTCATACAGACCGGTGTCCTTGAAGGCCACTAGAAACACGCCGTTAGAATAGTTGGTGGAAGGACAGAACAACAGTGTCAAAACCGAGACTCCTATAATCGCCTTCTGCCAGTGGCCTTGTCTTGGTCGTTTGGAATCAGCCATAACCGCTGAAGGATGGGCGTGAGCTGACGGCTGAAGTTGTATCCAAGTACTATCTGCAAGACAAAGAAGAGTGGTAAGTAGGTCATTTACTATGCTTTCAATATAAGATAAAACAGCATTCATCCTTAATTCCTGACATCCGCGGTAAATAATGATTCAGAGATAGCTAGTTATGACGGGTTTTCGAACAAATTTATCTCAGTTGTTACGGAATTTCCTGCAACTTCTCATTAACAAAACATAACACGTGTCATACACTCGGGTCCTTAGGTTTTTATTTTAAATTGTGGAAACATAGATAAGCACTGGTACCGACATGTACCAATGCTTATCTAACTGTACTTACTACTTGCTGCGGACCATCTACATATACCCATACAGGTAACAGTATCACAGCTTAATACACAGTGGTGTAAACGTTATAGTCGTGAAAATAAGAATTCACACATTTTGTCATTCGTTTCATCAATGTATTATCATTCCGAGTTTATTAGCTAAACCCTGTTTACAGGAATCATTGCAACATGTCCTTAAAGAGGGATGGTGAAAATACTAGATTAAAATTGTAAGTATGAGTTGTGATCACCATTTGCTTTGAAACCGTAGGGGCAGCGATCTCGCCTTGAAGACACAAGATGGTTGGAAAGAGCCTGTAGGATATTGTTCCAAAAGCCAGCTCATGATTGATTCATGTGAGCTTGCATTACCGGCTTCTTCAGCTCCGTCTCGTCCAAGGCATGGTGTATGGAAGAACAGATGGCCATGGCAGTACAGCAATGATATGCTGCGCCAGAATTTGTTACAACACGTGCAACACGAGTATGTGATACCACTCAATACTACTACACTTCCACCCAAACTGTCGACGTTGTAAAACGCAAGCATCCGTAAAACGTTCTTCTGCACGACCATCAGAGCAATCAGATGAAACCTGTACTCATCTGTAAACAATCTACGATATCAATCTTGTCATCAGAACCACATTGCATAGCTGTCTACAGTGCCCGACGTATCGCTGACGTGCTATCTCAGCTCATTGCGTGCAGTTATGACACTAATATGTCTCAACCAAGGAATAATATACATTAAAAGTCCGGCCACCTTCAGTTGTGCCATTCCTAATATTCAGAAGTTGATTTTCAGCAAACCATGGCATTGTATAAAC